AAACCTGTGTATAAAATGACATTACATAGATAACCGCCCCATTGGAGCATATTCGACAAAAAATCACAGAGTATATATGAAAAACTAATATTTCTCGGGCTTATTGTTAAGCTTTTCGTATTAACGTAAATTAAATTTATTAATTTGTGTAAAATCTAGCGATTTATATTTTCATCATTATAACATTCAACAAAAAAAAGTTCCATTAAATTTTAAATTTTTTTAATTTGAGATTGATTTGTTTATAATGATAATGTACCCGACAAATGTGAAAAATTCCATGGACAAAATTAAAGTAAATAGACGATAGATAAACTTTGGATTGGATAAACCAAATTATTTATGGACAAGTAAGTTAAGTTTATCAAAATATTTTGTATGAATCACGTGGAAATGGTGTATTTACCATGTTAATTAAACTTTTTGACTTAATTATTTTCACGTATCTCTTTTTCTAAAATAACCTTTTATTATTGATCTTTTCAACCTCAACAACAAATTTATGCACATGTAAAATTATCCTGGTGTTTTATTAAAATAATCCATTCTAACCACATTGCTTTTTTATATACAGAATTTAAAAATAATTTATTAACCCAAACATAAGGAAAAATAAACACGAGATATAAAATGATTCAATCAAGTTTCTGCAATACCTTTTAGTTTCATCAATTATAATAAATAATGTGTTATTAAATATATAAAAAGCAGTATATATAAACAAAACAGAAGTAATAATATATGAATGGCGAATCCAGTTCTCTCTACATGCTCTGTGAGAATTGTATAATTATATAGCAATTTGATAGAATTGGATGAACAAAACCAATATATTTTTCTTTCTTTGATAAGGTAATTTCTATTGTATAATTTAAAAATTTTTGCGTTTGCATTTCGGGTAATTTATATTTTTTTAAAAAAAAAAAATATAATAATAAAGATTTATATACCAATGAAAATATTATGAAAATTGATACTGAATGTAACTTAAAAAAAAGTTTAAAACCTAAAGTAATTAAAAATGAATTTAGAAGTTGCCGTAATCTTCGATTTAAACCGAATACTTCTCGACTCGATTATGATGTATTTTTTAATGGATTAATTAGAATATGACAAATTTACTTTGTGTCAATTACATATCATCAAAAAACAGTAATTAGAGATTAAAATATACAAATCATTCCGCACAAAAAATGAACAATATTAAACTTAACGAAATCAATTATTATCCATCAATGAGAGATTATACGTTTTGTTTTGCATCCATTAGCGTTAGGACCTCAACGGGACCTCAAATGGCTGATATTGTCGACGCATGACGTGTAATTACGTAAAGCATTCTCATCCAATCATCGGTCCTAAATAGACCACATCTTGCTCAGCCTATAGGCCCAATAACAATATAATATAGTACCAATCCATAATGTCAATATACGACAAGAACGTGATATGGAGATGAGGCAAATAAGCTTGGATAATTAACTTTCCTACATAAAATTACTTTACAAATACGTCGAGCGCCCATTCTTCTAATCTTTTAAGTTCCGTATTTTCACATCATTATCTAAACACGAAATTATAATCAGATAATTGAAGAACCTTAGGCCACGAATATCCGTTGAGCATAATACAATATCTGTAACCACGTGAGATAAAATGTCCTAAAAAATATTCTACCAACAAATGTTTGTTGTTTATGGTCAACTTATTTCATTAACTAATTCACGTTCTCATTTCCTTTGTTATTAATAGAAATCATATAAAAGAATCCATCATTTATCTATTATGCTTTGGCAGAACATGCTCATTTTTATTCTGAACATTTAAACTTTATACAATTATTACCTTCCAATAAAACTTCAGCTATCGAGAATTCAAACGAGATGATTTCAATTAGTGTATTATTTTCAATATTTGATCAATTGAGACTGGAAAGAACTTCTAAATTTTGTAAGATGTTACAAGGCGAAAAGAAAATATATACATTTAGTAATTAAGATTCTGCATAAATATTTAATACCACAGAACTCCCATTAAAAGCTTCTTTTTTTTTAATTAATTTGATTTGTAAACGTCTTAATACTCGAGATTTTCTTTCGGAATTTGAACTAAAAAACTAAAATATTTGGTCGGTTTGTTGTTATAATCACATTTCGAATCATATGATTTTCTATTTTTAGTTCTAACATTCATAATAACTAGTTCTATTATCCAGGCTTGCTCAAAGAACGTAAAATTCATATTATTTTTATACTTTGTTCGGTTCAAAAAAAAAAAATTTGATAACACAATATAAAAAATTTATTTTTTTTTGTTTAATAATGGAACTTTATTATAATACAATACTTTTTCGTTTACTAATTAATATAAATACATATACAATTTACATATATCAAAACAAAACACGAAAACAAGTAATTTTTTTTTCCTTTTATTATCTGAACTTCCTAAAACAAATATATGCATACGCAAACTAAATAGAAGACAGAAAGATCCTTACCGAATGACCCAGAAAATTAACGGAACCCAAAGCAAAACCTACACCCTACAAAAAGCAAAAAAAAAAAGCTACAAAACGCAAAAACCCTACAAAAAGCAAAAAACCCTACAATAAAACAAAAAGTTAACCAACAAAAAAAAATCACGAAACTATAAAAGCGAACCTAAAAATCCTGTAAAACCTAAACCTAAAATCGGAGCGGACGACCTGCCTAACCGACTAAATAAATAAGGGAGGAAGGGGGTAAGAGTAAGTAAAAAATTTTTGATTAAAAAAAGGTAATATAAAAGCAAAATTACAATAATTAAGGAACTTATAAAAAAGCAAACTTACAAAAGAAACAGAACTTACAAAAAGCAACCTAAAAATCCTGTATACCAAAACCGAAAATCAAAGAGCGGACGACCTGCCTAACCGACTAAATAAAGGGAAGGGAGGAGGTGGTAAGAGTAAATAAAGTAGTGAGTAAAAAATTGTCATATAAGCATACTACTATCAAAAATGACTCTGATATTTTTATTATTTGCGTGTACATATTTTTGTTGGAAAGTTGCAGAAGAGAATGAACGAAAAAAAAGTAGAATCTTCATATTTACGCGATAAAAAATTTGGGTAAATTAATTTTGGGGTATGAACATGCACGAATGTCACGTGATGATTTATTTTTGTATCTTACATGCATCATTACTACTGTACTTACTATAAAGCGGGTAATATTAATTACCTTATATAGTAAGATTTTAATATTGTAACCCACTGCTCAAAAAATTAACTCTAGTATCTGCTTATATGGCTTTTACCTCGTGGAGGTTAACTCTTTTTATGTTCGTAACTCGATTTACCAGCAAACGACTCATGTGAGTGAATTCCCATTCTAGACATAAAGAATAGCAGTTTAGTTGGGTTGGGTCAAAATCACATGATTTTTTTTTGCGGAATGAATCAACAAACTTTTTCTTGAAGAAGCATTTGCTTCATTTTCCAATAATAAACGGTTAGCTTTGATAGCAAGTACAAAGATGAGACGATTAAGCTTTCCAAATTACTTTATAAAGAGTAATGTATGATATATTGGGTATCTATAATAGATAATTTAAACATCATACGAGTTTTCTTAATAAACCAATCAATTATGGTACAGAATTTCTAGCATTTCTGATCACGAACAGTATTCGCTTTACGTAAAATTACAAATATGGAGATCAAGCAAACTTGCCTCCCTTTTAAAAAAGACATGAATATTATCGAATTTATATTAACCATTTCTTTGAAATTAAAAACGACCAGATTTATTGACAAAATGAATTGATAATAAGGAAAATCTGGTGAAATTGATTTTTTTTTTAAATTACGTTATGAGTTTTTATAATGTATTCTCTAACCTTTTTTTTTTTAAAAAAAAAAACGAAATGCATAACAACCAACAAATCAAAAAATTTTAATTTCATTTGAATTTTTGAAGAATAAAATATGATAAGCGATATAACCATCATCCAGAAATTTCGATCGGCTTAAGGGAGGCTCTCATTTCGGTCATCGTTATCAGATCTATAAGGATATAATTTTTTAATTACAGATATCTTTAAAGAAATATGTAAAGTCATTCATAACCATGTATCAACAATAAAACAATGGTAATATAAAAAAACATCTTAAACATAATTTTGAATAATTTGGCTTGATGACGAGATTTTCACATTAAAAACGATAGTTCATCGATAAATTTCTTCTCTTTCTATCTTGTTTTGATAATTCAAAATTATACTAAATACAAGTATGGATTATAACGAATACACATTTGAAAATTCTTCTGTGAACAATGATTCACAATAGATAGTTAGTGTTAAAAGTTCAGAAGCTCTCTCGGGTTATCAATCAGTTGGTAACTGTTTGCATTCACATTTTATTCAAAATCAAAAATCATAATTAATTTTTTGCATTCTTATAGAATCTCTGGTAACAGAAGACGCCTCTGCATTTGAAGAGGATGAAACAGATCTTACACAAGAGGAGTGTTGGGAAGTGGTTTATTCATTTTCAAAAAAAAAGGCATCTTACGACAACAATTGGACTCATTTGAGGACTTATTGAGCGTGGTCTAGTTGAAGTCATAAATGAAACCACAATGTAAGCGATTAGATATTTTGATTTTGTAGATGGGCAATAAATTATGGTCTGTTTCAATACTTTAGGTTGAATAGTAGTTGGTGTTGGTTTATATATATATATGGAATACGATATACACAATTTTTTTTTTTAAAAAAAATAAAAACTAATTCTACAATTTATACTCAATACCGTTTCGAGTTAAATAATTATTTACTAAACCTCAAATTTCCGAACCTGATGGTATCAAAAAGCAATTGTTCCCGAATTAAGCCCGCTTAAGAGGATTAACGAAATTATTTTAAATTATATTCTATATTATATAATATAGACTTCAACTTACAAATATTTTTTCTTTTTCGTGTATAGGTACTCATTCCCGTTGTTTTTAAATATGAAAGTTTTTGTATCAAAGCTAATCATAAGCAGCTTTGATGAAATAAATTACAACGATAATGACTTCAAAGGATTTGAGGAGATTGTGATTGATGAACTGGTATTTTTTGGAAAGGTAATTTTTGTTTCAAGGTTAATAATTACAATTTACTATGACGATAGTATAATATACATTTACTCTCTCAATTAAAAATATAGATTCCTGTTATGGTACATTCTAAATTTTGCTCTTTATCTGATTTGACCTTTGAGGAACTAAAAGAACATCACGAGTGTCCATATGATCAGGTTTGTAATTTAACTTTCTCTTAACATATAATTTCCAATGCTAAATTTACTTCATTTTAGGGTGGTTACTTTATAATAAACGGTTCCGAAAAAATTCTAATAGCTTAGCCTACAATTATGTCGATATCTTTAGACATGCTTCGCCGTTGACTACCCTTTATAGCGCGGAATTTCGTAGTTCTACTGAATGCATGTCAAAAGTTAGAACTTTGAACTTGAAATTGGTTACAACTTTTGCCGAAGAAATAAATTCTTATACAATTTACGTATAAATAAATTGATTTATATATTTATCCAACTTTGTGACTAATTTATTATTTCATTAATTTTCTAATATTGATTTATTTGAAAAAAAAACTAGGTCGCTTTTAGATTTTATTGCGCGCAGAGGAACCACATCTAATGCGGTTCGGGAGAAATGGATCAAATGGATCGAGTACGTATTGGTTTAAATTATTAATTATATTATAAATTTGTTAAACATGATGATATAACGATTATATGTCGAATTCTGGAAAAACATTATATATAACGAATTTCTGCCTCACATTGGAGTAGGAATTGGCTTCACTTTCGTTAAAGGATATTATTTGGGATATTTAGCGTATAGGCTTTTACACTCTGCTCTTGAACGTCGTCGAACTTGATGATCGAGATCATTTGGAAAAAACACCTTGATATGGCTGGTCATCTGGTCATATAATGATTTCATTATTCCGCACTTTATACAAAACAATGTCAATAAAATGACTGTTTATTTTAGAAAGGCAACAAAAAAATATTTTAATTTTGTTTATAAAAAGTTTTTTACAGTTCTATTATACTGTATATGTGCTCACATGATTATTCTGATTTATTAGTGTATTTTGATTAAACGCGCTTCAACCTTTAGCGATAAGACCACAGATAATTACCAATAGATTTAGATACTCAATTGGTACCAGTAATAGGGGAGATGTCAAAAGGGCAATGCAGGCAATTTGCTGTTTGCATTTTGATTTCATTAGGAACAAGTTCTAAATGTTGTGTTAAAGTATCAGTATCAATTATGATTTTTCTATTTCTTTCAAGAACAGGAATCTATCATTTTTGTAGAAGAATCTTTAAAGTTGTCATTTTTTTGTTTGATGAATTTTAAAATCCTTTCATTTATTTTAATTAGCTTACATTTGACATCAGCTCAGCTTTCAGTTCATTTAAATTGATTAGTAGACGATTTATTGTATTAATCATCAATCAAGACTATAGTGATGAAATATTAAGATGCTATTTATAATATGGATTTATTTTCTTCTAATAATAGGAGAAAAGGAGAGAGAGAAAAGATTGATTAAAGAAGGCATTTTTTTAATTTTATAGTAAAGTTTTCACATTTTTTATGTGTTTGTGGATTGAGAAGTTTGAATATGTGAATAAGGAATTATGTTGAGAAGTGTTAATTTGTTTAGAAATATATTTGATAGCAGAGGTAAGAACTGTATTAGTAAAAAAATTTCAAGTAGCATTTAGTAGAGTTCCTCAAAATCAAATCAAATCAAATATTGAAGCAATGATTTGATTTTTTCAAATTGAATCAAATCGAATTTAATTGAACTCAAATATTTAATCAAAAGACAGAATCTCATTAAACACGTTGGGATATACTTTCCTTAAAAAACCTCACCAAAACTCGATTACTTGCTCAACTATTGACTTTATACAACAGCTTTTAAACCATTAGAAATTTAGTTGTGTACATTTAAAACTTTCCTTATACTTCTTTTATTTTATGCTGAAATCTCAGCTGTACGTTCCGTCTTTTTTGATAGCAAGTTTTCCTAATTCAACTAACTGCCATCCGGCATCGTAGAAATGTTCAACTTTATATATGCATTAATAGTTTTCTCACAATATAACAGCATGAAAAATTTTCGAATGAAAGGTTCTTATTCGTTGAGCGACTTTATTGGGCAATCGATCTAGATTTATAATTTAAAATTAGCAACAGAAATATTCCCTTAAAAGACTCAAAACACAACTATCCAAAATCCAACATGTTTTTTTTGTTTTTCATCATTCTCTTTAAGAACAAATGCACGACAAATAAGTTATGTTAATGACTAACAATTTCCTTGTGATGTGTTAAACAATATTGATTGTGCCTAACCGAAAATTTTCCGAAGCTTTCTACTTTACTAATGATGAACAAGAGATGAAAGACTGATTCAATTATGAATATTTCCAAGTTTAGAATATTATATTAATACGCAATATTATAAATTAAAATGTTTTGTCCATTTATCTCAGAAAAATCATATAAATATTCCATATTATGGAATACTTAATTGAATTTTATCTAATTTGAGAACTTACAAAATGAAAAAAATTATAATTTGAATTGTTAGAATAAATTGGATTCGCTCGAAAGATTTGTTGTTCAAGACTACATTTCTTAAAAGCACTTATTTAGCTGTCATTTATTAAAGGACTTAATTAGTTTCAAGATAATAAAATTCAAATTACATAATTTAATAAAATGTGACTATGAATTTTAAAAAATCACATTCATCAACTTTTAAAATCAAATTAGGTTACATTGGTATATTTGGAAAGTAAAGCAGTTGAATATGGTATATCACAAACCCATGTGATTCCATTATTTACATTTTTACCTTTACCAATTATAATACCATTCTCACCAATAGCCCCAAAAATATTCTTATTATTATTCTTTAACAAATTACTGATAGCTATCGGGTCTAAGTTATCCCGATCTAAGGTTGACATTGCGATTTTTATTTCAACTATAATAAATAACAATAAAGCAATTTTAATAAAAGATGGTAATGATAATTCGTTAATTTAAAAAATAATCACCATCATCTTCTAATTGATTTTTTAATAATGTCGCGTCAAATTCTTTCTTCCTATAAAAAAACTTTTTTTTTGTTTTAAATAAAAAGTTCTGTCGATTAATAAATTATAATGAATTATGATAGATTGATAATATTAAATACCTTCACAAATTGTCCTTCCTTAAGATCCATTGTAGTATCAACAGCCATATTTCCTCTCACAGGATCTCCACTTGATATTTTGTTAATCATTAAATTAGATTCCTAAAATAAAAGAAAGGTTACAAGTTAAATACTACTCTTCTATTTGTTAGATATGTATGAAAATAAACGCTCAATACATTAAGTTGATTATCCTTATCATTATGATCATATAATCCGAGATAAAATTCGGTTTCTTTGGATAAAATTCTCTTGTCATCACCAGATTGTAACCTATTTAGAAGTAATCTGGTAGGATTTGTTCCATCAAGTTCTAAAATTATATTTCCACGACAACTTTTATAGAAAAATTTAAGAAATTAAATAACTTATTCATTTATTTATTCTTAAATATCTAATTTCTGAATATAATAATACCTTGTGATTCTCAATGGATCTCCAACTGCATTTAATGATGGATGATCGACTTGAAGTTGATTTTTGAATGATTTGTCTGTAATTGCTACCCCTATAATACCTCTAGATAAAACACTATTATTATGAAATAAACTAAAAGGTCGACCCGTTAAGAAAGGTGTTGATGTCCTATTATGTTGAGAGAAAAATTAAAAATTTGTCAAAAAAATAATTAAAAAGAAAATTAGGAATAAATTTACCCAATAATCCCAATCTATTTTTTTTTAATTAAAAAAAAATAAATTATTAAATTAAAAATAATTAAAAAAATAAAATAAAATTAAAGAGATGAACCTTTTTAGTTGTAGGAAAATGATGATCTAAAGATTCCAAGAATTGATACGGCTCAGAATCAGAAGCCAAGAGAATCAAGTCCGGACTAAATTTCAATTTATCCGCTTAACATTTTAGTTTTTAAAAAAAAAAATTTTTTTTTTTTTTAAAAAAAAAAAAAGAAAATACCTTATATTGTTATTTTTTAGCCTATTCAGTTCCTCAGGTAAATCAAATTCATTAGGAACACTTGAAATTGATTGGAACTTTTTAATATCAAATAAATTGGAAAATTCGCCATTTTTATCTTTAAAATCGTCAAGATTTTTCCATCTACCGACAGAATTTGATTTATATTGATGACGTTTTGATCCTTCGATATTTATGGAAAATCCATCAAATCTTGTATCATTTTTCTTCCGATTTCCCAATAATAATGAAATACCATGACCATTATTATTATTGTTACCGTAAATTTTGTCAACAACACATCCACCTAAAAATTTTGGTTTCAATTTTGAATGAAGATATTGAGGTATAATTTCAATATCTTTTGGTTCATAAGTTCTTGATGCGAATACTAAACAAATATCATATTCTTTAGTTGAGGAACAAATAAGAGAATCAATAGCTTCTTTTGCTGAAGTGTGATGTGCGCTTAACGTTGTTAATAATTTCTTAGAATCTTTAGATGAATATTTTCTAAAATTTTGTGATAATGAGTTAGATTTGATTAAGTTATTCAAATTACGAAATAAATTTGATAAAGTCATTGAAATAAAATGGAAATCTTTTTTTTTTTCTTTTTTTATTTATTTTCTGATCAACGAAAGCTGAATTCAAACTAGTTCGATTCCTTTTTAGTTCGATTTTCAATGCTGCGCCCCATGCCAGTTCGGAGAGAGTATAAAATAAAATCAGTTCAAGTTTTAAACCAACCCAACCCATTATACAGTATATTTGAAACTTTTTCTGCGGAAATATGTATGTAATGGAAATCACTATTTTTCTTTCGAACACAAAAATAACTTTTCATAAATTGTTGTTAAAATTAAGCGATTATGAATCGATCAAAATTAAATTCAATAAAATGCAATGCAGCAGTGCAATAATTTGGGAAAATCTCGGGGGCAAATGGTACGTACGGCGGCATTCCCCGTCGAACAACAAATTTAAAATTTATGTTATGTTTCACCATTTTAATTACACATCACAACTGTTGTTCACAAAATTCTTTTATATATCATATTTGTTAAATTAGTCAAATGAAAAAATTATGATTACTTTAAATTTATTTTTTAAGCCAATTTTAAGTCTTTTTTATGCCCTAATATTAGGAATATTCATTAAAGAAGTAAATTCATTTACACCTATTTCTCGTAATGCTTTCTCGTCAGTTCTTGCAGGGGATAAGCTTTACTTTTTCGGTGGAAATCCGAATTCTATTTCAAATCAAACATTTTGTCTTGATGTATCTCAATCGTTTAGTTCAGAAAATCCACCATGGATTGAAACACCATCAGCAGTAATTCCATTTGCAAGTGTTTTTGCTACAGTTTCATTCATCGAAAGTAGTTCAATTATTTATCTATTTGGTGGATTTATGTACGATCCAGTTACGCTTGTCGACAGCTTTCAATCATTTGTACATACATTTAATACTCAAACTCTTAAATGGGATATACCTAAAACCAATGGCCAAATACCAACAAGACGTAGGAATATTGAAGCGGTCAAAGATAATTTTGGAAAAATTTATATTTTTGGAGGTAAAAATGATTTTGCAAGTCCAGTTACTTTTTATAATGATATGATTATCTTTGATACAAACATCTTAGCTTGGTCATACTGAACTGCATTCAAAGCTCCTATAGCTCGAAATGAATATACTGCAACATTATTATCAAATGGTGTTATTGTATATATAGGAGGATTTAATTCTAATGGCAAAACTATGCACATTAACGAAATTGACCTCTATGATACAAAGTTGGATTCTTGGAAAGTGATGGTATTTAATAAAATTTTCAAAAATTAATTTATAATCATAAACTAATTATTTTCTCACATTGTACAGGTTGCAAAAAATATAAATATGATAGGATCCCGTTATTCACATACCGCTGTTTTAGGTATCAAAATTTAAGGAATACCATTTTTTTTTTGAGTTGAATTCTAACGCTAAAATATATATATATATTTTAGCTCCAAATGATCAAATTATTATCTGTGGTGGAGGATTTGGGCCTGCAAACAATCAAGTAGCTCCAATCATTGCAATTTTAAACACTCAAACAACTCCATTTGAATGGACTATACCGGAAGTATCATCAAATATTGGTGAAATTCCATCACTTGTATTTCATAATGCCAATTTAGTTGCAAATTATATGATTGTTTCATTTGGTAAATGTTATTGAAATTGCAAAAAAAAAAAAAATCAAGCGAATAATTATTAAATACATAATCATTGTTAATTATATAGGAAATATTACTCAGGTTGATGATTCACCAATGGTTAGAAATCCAAAAATTTATTTGTTAGATATCCGAAACTATACTTGGATTAATAAATTTGATCGTATTGAACAAGAATCAAAATCTAATTCAACTCAACCACAAACACATTCCAACTCACCTAATTCACCTTCTAAGGATTTAACATCAAAAAAAGTTGCCATTTCTGTAGTTAGTAGTATTGTAGCAACCGCATTTCTTATTGGTATTGGAGCTTTACTTTATAGATGGTCTAAAAAACGAAAGGACAAGACAACTTTAAGAATTTCTGGAAATTTTGGTATTGAGAATAATGAATAATTAATAATCATATACATTTAACAAATTTCGTATTGTCGATAATATTTTATTTAATTCGTTAATCGATGAAACCGTACCGTTACATTAAGATTTATAAAAAAGAATAGATTCAATATCCTTAAAAATTACTGGAAATTTTGGAAAATAAATAATTAAAAAATAATCAAATCATGTATGTTTTTATTTGAATTATTTATATTTTACAAAATTTAAGCTATTATTTATTAATTGTATAAGACATATTCTATTTAAAAATATATACAATATTAAAATCAAGAAGTTTGAGCAATCTTCAAGAAATCGAATTACAGTAAAAGAATGCTATTTATTTATATATAATAAACACTTACTGTACATATATTAATACTTGATCGAAAAATCGTTACTCGATTAATAATAATAAATAGTATGTTAAATTTATGATTTTCGAATATATTTATTATATAAAGGATGGGTTCTTTCATATTGCTGCTGGATACATTTGTTATGTGTTAAATTTCATAATTATTTTTTTTCTTTGAAATTGATCGTGTCCGAATTTATCCGTGTGAGTTCCTCCCCTTTTCTATTGTAAAACCTCACTCACGTGCAAAAACTAAAGCAATAAAAATAGCAATATGCGCTATGCTATCATTTAAACTTCTTTCCATCAAATTTTAGGGATCTTTAATGTTACCCTTTTGATTTTTTTAAAGCTAAACCTTTATTTATTTATTTATGAAGTATCATAAGTTTTCGTTTTTTAAAATATTTGTCTATTATTTCTTTTTTTTTGTAATTTATTATTTAAAATTTTAAAACAATCTTATATTCTTTAATAAATAGGTTCACAGTATATTCTTATAGTTTTTGGTTTACAAATCTGATTTCATTTTAAACAAATTCTTTCGTGTAACACTGCACGATCCTTTTTGCGATATCTTGACATAATGTTATAGATTGGAGCAGTGATGGAAAATGTCTAATGAATCAATTAAAGATAATATATCATGATTATCCCAAACGTTACCCTCCTCCAAAAAAATTAATAATTGAAAAATTTTTATGAGAGGATCTTTGTCAAAGTCCCGCTGGTCCGGGAACAAAACTTAATATGCCAGTGAAATTTGGTTTATGAAAAAAAAGATGACATTATGGCCTGTTCCCTAGCATAGCACAATTGATAAATAAAATATAGAGTCTTTCAGTTTTTCTATCTTATTCTCGGAAGTTTTGATGTGATGTTTGTTCTATTTTATTTCGATTTTGTTCCTGAGAAAAATTTATCGTTTCTAAGTTTAGTAACGCTGGTTGCTTTTTTTTTTAAAAAAAATGTATATTTTTTAAAAAAATGTGTCTGATTGGGAAATTTTTTTGTTCCTCTGGATTTATATTTTTAAGTAAGATACAGTATCTTTGAATAAAGAGCAGAGAGGATTGAAATCGTTACTTTACATAAGTGAAAGGTTTTGACACTAAGATGATATTGATTAACTTTTTAGTTGTGGACGAATTTAACATTTTCCAAATGGCATTTTGATCCAAGATGTCCTTTAAACATTGCTTTAAATTTTTTTTTAGTTAAGAATAAGATGAAGCAATTATAATGCCTGCAATGATAATGTCAGCACGACATGAAACCCTTCAGGGTCACATTACTTCTTTATTGAAGGCATACTGGAACATATTCTTCAAAGCAACAAGTCAACTGCAAATTATAGCTTCGGTTCACAGTTCGTATCTCGCTGAAGTTTTCCTCTCGGGTCTCTTTTTTTCGAAGGCAGTATTGCATAACTTATCGGATGATGGATTATAAGACATGCTTTCATGTTAAAAGTCATTTCCCATTATATGGTATTAAGCAAAAAGCTTCGTGGATAATGATAAAATAAAAAATTTTTTTTCGAAGGTATTCTCCTTTCGTCAGATACTATAACTTTTCATTTTCTCTCTCTTCCCATACCTGTAGAATATAATGAAAGTAAAAAGAGATTAGAGGACTGTATCGGAAAGAGAAGAGAAAAAAGAAAAATTAACAATAAAAAAAAACTACTAATATCAAAAATGGATATTCAAAGGTTTTGTTGCTTCCTCAAAGAAAGGCGAGTGAAAAGAGACCAACTCCTCGAAGGAATTTTTCACGTGTAAGGCAAACACTCCTAAGAGGATGGATAAGCAAATCCTAGGGAGCGTCTGTGTCCAAGTACTAAACCGTCGCTCTTAGCTTAATACTAAGGATACCACCAGAAAATGCTTCTCTTTTTAAAGCTAAAACTATTTACTAACCACATCCTTAAACAAAAGCAGTTAAAAAAGATATGTGTGGTGAAAACACGATCAGAAGGCCAGAAACTAAAGGGAAGTGATCACTATTTAACCCAAACAATGGCCCTTTACTACCTGCCTAGACATCGTTAAAGGAGAAATAAAAATAAAAAAGATACTTCCCATAAATAATTGCCCTACTATCTGTATCCGTTACAAAGCACCCACCTGGACTGTGAAAAGTTAACATTAAAAATCACTATGACTATGTAATGAACATCCAGGTATCGTTCCAGTAAGTCAAACTATATTTCGTGAACTCGTAACCAGAATTGAAAACTATTACAAACAAAATTATTGTCAAAGCGTGAAAAATGTTGGAGGAATGCGTTTATAAAAACAAATTAGAAGCAAGAGTTTAAACTGCACCGTTCCGTTAAAAAAGAGAAAAGAACGACCTCGTAAAGATAATTTTTTTAGCACTGCACTGGGGTGATACTTTAAAGTTTAGCAAAGATGGTATGAAGAATACGAGGAGAAGAGGAGAAGTAAAGGAGGTGAAGAGTTGAAGAGGTGAAGAAAAGAGGATATAATAAAAAAAAATGATGTAATAACATATTTTTAATCTATTCCATATTTATTATTACTAAATTTAGTAAGTATTAAAAATTTATCCACCTCATGTTCTCATGTTATGTTAGTTCGATTTGGGCTAAAAATTTTTCGTCTCGTCTAGATTACTTATTGATTAATAAAAAAATTATTGAGATCTGTTTGAAGATTCTTCTCATTGTCAAATTTAGAAACATGACATGAATTTTATATTATTAATAATATTGCTGTTGCATACTATAAAAGGCGAAATACATAAAACAGATTTATGACGTAAATACACTTACGGTAGTGAGACATGAGCTTTTCAAATTAACATTACTCGTACCGAACTAATTAAAAAATCTTTTTTTTATGTTAGATTGTTAGATTTACAGTACAGTAATATATGATTTTATATTAATTATTAGTTAAATTAATTATTTTCTGTATAGATTTTATTAATGTTCGGTTTTTTATTGATGTTCAACGTCTCATAATTCAAAACAAAATTTATTTATTAAAACAAAATCAAAAAAAAATTAAGCTGATGATTATATTTCAAAACTTATCTAATAAATTTTTAGACTTATATAAGAAATTCAATCATTTCAACATAAAATTTTCTCCTAAATTATCCGTCCATTACTTGTCATCCGAAGGTACCCACCCTAAAATTAATACCGCATCCAATTCGACCTCAATCTTGATCCATCAATGATTTCTTAAAAGTGATAAAATAAATACAACCGAATTTGATTTTTATTATAAGTAAGCAATGCAAATTTCCTTTGGTTAAATTATTTTTTCTCCTAAATGTTTTAATATGCTTTGCGAATTTCGGTTGATCTTCAGCAAAAATAATTAAATGAAAATTTAACATCTAAAATCTATATATAAATCAACCTTTGGGCTTATTTCTTTGCAAATGCTATAAAAATATTGATAATTAAATACTGAGAAAATATGGGAGAATCTAAATTTTGGTCGATTTATTTTATTGAACCACATGACATGACTGATCTCAATCATGTTGGGCTAATTTTACCCCACTTTCTGATTGACTGGTATAATTAAATATGTGTTTTGTCACGTACTAAGAGGTGACAACTAATATCAATTTAGGGATGCTAATGGTTACGGTCAGGTCATGAACTGGTCATGACCGGTCATAACAGTACCGATTTTGACCGACCGGTTGACCAATATCAATAATACCAGCCAATCAGAAAGTGGGTAAATTAGTAAAATCGTTGGGGTGGTCGACGATGCCCATATAAAATTAATATTGATAAATTTTTTATATTAAACTTACGTGCTTTTTCAAATGCTTAGCTCGCCTTGAAATTTCCCATTAAAATATCCAAAATCTTAAAGTTTGATAACTCTGAAAAGAAATAGTATTTAAATAATATAAAAACACACAATAACTTAAATAATTATGGGATAGTTTGCTTTTCTGAAAAATGCTAAAAAAATATTTTCTTTATAGCTATACCTGCAAATATTGCTTTATTATTTTTTGAACGCAAATAAACTTTATTGAGAAAAATAAACTATTATGCGAAATAGATAATGATTTGAAGTATTTTGTAAAATTGGAAATGTAAAGAATGGAAAGTATTCAAAGTTTGAAAATGTATAGAATTATTATAGGACGTAGATTAATTAAAATTTAAAAAATTTTAATGAATAGGCTCTATATCTACATTTGAACTATAGTAAAAAGTTAACAAAATACATTATTAAATTTCCACAAGAGCTTAATTCACTTAGCCCACAACTTGTAAAAATATATTTAATTAATTTACTTTAATGTTTTTAGATTTCTTTCCTAATAAGCAAAAAATAATAATTTGACAATCTGAAATTGACTTGTTCATTAGTTTAAACATTGATTTTTCGACATTGAATTTTAAAAATTTTTTTATTTTTCTTTTAGAACAAACAAGTTTTCCAAAATTTAATAATTAAATTACCGTTTAAGAATTGTATAAGTAATGGCGAGGAAATTTGTATAGTAATAACTCATTTTTTTTAATTTTTTCCTTAAATAATTGTATTACATATTACAACCTAACGAATGTAATCGTAGAAGAAAACATTTAAATGATCAGTATTGTCGCTTATCCAAAAGCAATATTTAAACCAAGTGGAAATCTAATTATTGGTAAGTTTACTAACCAATGATAAAAAAACAACGGGAAGAATTGAATTTGTTCCCTATGATGGATTCAAGGATATCGAATTTATTTCCGAGAGAGGATTTAGTAAAGTTCATAAGCTACTTGGATTGACGGTCCAATAGATTATTGGGTGGAAAAAAAGAATGAGTATAGGCGTATTTGTCAAATGAACGTTACTCTCAAGAAACTTAACAATTCCGAAATCATCAATGAAAAGGCGTTAAATGAGGTATAGTTTTCTTATTCTAAATATATACTATTATAAAATTCATAATACAAATCAAATAAATTCTTGTTATTCCTTCATATCAATAACAAGAATTAATTTTTTATTTTAGCTCAAGTTGTATTATGAATTTTCTTTAGGTTGGAAATATAAAAATATAAAACCAAGTTATCGCATATTCAGATCAATATAATTATGTTAACAAATATTTTGGACTCACTCAAGACCCCATTAATAAGGATTATGAATCAGAGACCTAACACAATATCTAGCGAAGAATTTCTTCGAACTTGAATGGTCAGATAAGTTGAAACGATTGCATTACATTAACGATGGGCTTAAAAATATACATGATGTAAATATTATTCACCAGGATTTTCATAGTGGAAATATACTTAGTTCAGGTGGGTGAGATTGCTATAATAGGCAATAAAGGATAAGTAAACCAGCATTTGAATCATCGAGATTTTTTCAAGGTAATAAATATACTAAAGCTTCGGACATATCATATATGGTTTTGGAATGATTATGTGGGAATACTTGACAGGTAGAAGGTCTTTTTGGGATCGAGGTCACGATGTTGATCTTATTATTAATATTTGTGATGGTCTTCGTCCTCTATTGGTCAAGAAGGTTACATACAAGAATGTTGGCATCCTGATTTAAATAATAGACCAACGGCCGACGACATAAAATCCAAAATTGAGAATATTATTGATTCAGAAAGTAGAATACCAACTAAAATTTTAGGTTCACCAGATATTATAGTTGCCTGACAAACTCCTGGGTTAGACCGACCGTCGAATGTCGAAAGTGTCAAAACAATAATAAAATCATATAAACTAACTTGTCGAAACCCGTCGAAACCTGACAAGATATATCAAACAGTCGAAACAATATTATGGACTTATTAAAAACCTGTCGAAACTAGAGGTTTAGACGTTTCGACAAATCCAAAATAGGTTTCGTCAGGCAACTATACCAGATATTGGACCTATATCGACAAACAATCCTGGCGCAATATACAGTATATAAAAGTAGAGATTTAAGTGCAATGATAAAATCTGCCGAGTCTACAAAAATTATGAATATTTAATTTTTATATCTATATCAAAGTATGGTCGACGTTTTGTATAAAACAAGAATTCAATCTTTTTCGTGAAGTCTTACAAAACTGACTTTGCCTTTACTAATAAAAATTTTCATTTATTCAAAGTATACGTAATTCGACGGGATCATGGTAAAATTATCTATTTTATAAAAATTTCACAAAACTGTAACGGTTAATAAAATTTTATCATGCATGTTCTTTAGGTTATTTGACAAAAGAGCTCAAATGGACTGACGATAATAGTAAATGAATAACAATTTTTACGATAACGATAAATGCTTTCTAATTTGATCATATTTATAATAGATATTTTAAATCAGGAATTTTTAAATTATAATTTCTTATTAATCTTGTGTAAGAATAAAATTCTTTTAAAAATAAAAAAATAATTTAGCCAATGAGGAATTGACTTTTCGGACTTTTCTGTAAGTTAGGACTTCTCGGGAATTACAGAGCTCCGGCAGAGGCAGAAATAGTTGCATTTTTTGTATTATTTCACATTTTATTTAATAAATCGATTTCCCTTTAATTTCTTTTAATAAAAAATTTATTTAAATTCTTTTACATTTGATTACATACATGTTCGCCAAATATATTAAGCTTCACATGATAAACATAATAAACAAAGTAAACATATTAAATATAAAATCACCTCTTTACGAATTTAGGAGGTGATACAAGTAAGTGAAACCAATCTAGAATGTTTTACTTCTTGGCACTCATGACTCGTGAATTAAACTCAGAAGAGTACTCAAATTATAGTTGCGTCTGAACCTGTAGTTTCGACAGGTTTACATATATAGTTTCGACAGGTTAGTTTATATGATTTTATTAAGGTTTTGACACTTTCGACATTCGACGGTCGGTCTAAACCCAGGAGTTTCGTCAGGTAACTATAACTCAGATCTTGTGATCAAAGTCAAATATTCGAGTTACGATATAAATCAATCATGTTATTAATTACGACTTTTAAATTAAGAATAAATTTTTTTTAGGTTTCAGAAGAATTATTTTTGAATATACTTATGTTTACGTGCCATCATAAGACGATACTCCACATTTTTTACCATTGTTCAATATAACCTAACAAGTTGCAGTGGCCTCTTTCTGAAAATGTCACAAATGAAGCTCATAAAAGTACGAACATCTTCAAATCGAGGTAATTTTGACCATCATCTTCCTCATGAGGTTCTTGTCTTCATTATTACTGTTTATATTATATTTGAATGTTTCGTTTTGAGATGAAAAGTTGCTATTTTTAATTTTATTAATAGATTCATAAATAAATAATTAATTATTAGAGGTAGAGGAGAGGTTGAAATAAAAAATGCTGCAATCGCAAGAAAAGTATATTTATTAAATTGCAAAATCTATAAAAATATAACAATATTGATTAACTATATTAACTATGGATACAAGTTAATATTTACTCACTCAAATCACAAATGTTCGATCACGAGTTGGCAAGTAGTTCCAACATATAACTAACTATTCATGTGTGCCTTGACGTTAGAAATAGTAGTGGTTAATAAATCGACTCAATTTTCACGCCACCGTCAGCTAAAAGACTCACAAATGTACTCTCAACAAATCTATTATTCGAGATTTTCGTGATGTGATCATATCACTAAAAGCGTATATCAAAACTAGTTAGTGGATCTTTTTATTCACCATGTACGAGTAAAACAAAAACGAACGAAACGAAAATTTCAAACCGATCAAATTTACCTAACTTCCCGCATAATATGCTAAGATTTATGGTGCATTTTGGTTAGGTTTCTTGACTTTATTCTGGATTCACGCCATTACGATTTTTTTTTGGATATATTCCAATCTTAAACCTTGCTGCATATTTGACACATTTCTCATCAGCTCAGTAAAAGTATTGAAGCCTAACCTAATTTCAACTTGGATATTGGCGCAGTTTCGTAATGGCATGGCAATAAAAAATCGAAACATTTCATAAGCAAAAAATTTCAATGATCGCAGATATATTGTCTAGCTTCAAATATCTATCCTTCGGAATTCTTCTATAGATTCAAAATTATTTCAACCACAGAATGGTCTCTTCAGAAATAATCTTTTATGTGGTTTTGTGGGCGTAGTATATCGATGTGATTATTTATTTCAGATAGAAAAAAATTAGGGAAGGGCCAGAAATTACGTGATTAGGGCTAATGTAAGAAATGACCCCCCTGTGATTTGTACTACGCCGAATAGATAATCTATAAACGAATCTTTAAACAGATTTTTTTTTTTCAACTAATTCTCCGTTTTGTATAGAGTTTAAAAATTTTAAGTGTGTAAAGTTTTTTTTTAACAAAGATGCAAACCTTTTTAACATGATAAAAAATACCTTTACAAAAATCCAACGCATTTATATCATGAGTTTTGTAATGAATGGGCATACCATAAAATGACTGAACTTTCGAATCCAAACCCACCAAAACAACAACTAATGGAGCAAGAAATATTATGTGGACTGAAGCAAAAGGAAAGAATATAAACGAAATTAAAAATGCCATTACAAATTTCCTAAATACTCCAGTTCCATTAACAGGAAATAGGTTTCAAGTTTTAAATTTCAGACCAGTTCGTCATACTACACCAACACTTAACAAGGAAAATCAAATAGCACCAAATGCAATATCACAACACAGTACTATTAATAAAAAGGAATGTGCACAAAAACATGTAGCAGAGTATACTACTATGCTTGATATTACAACGGACAGTTCTATGCGGAAGCATCTCATACATCAAATAAATACAGAAAAACAAATAATAATACAAGAAGATAAACGACTTACCCATTTGAAACGACATGCAAAAGCACAAGTAAAACTTTGGGAACGGAAACGTCAATTATTAGAAAATAATATTGTAGAAAAGTATGATTCACCCGGTAGACCCTCATATTTTCTTAAAAATCCAGAATTATATGATCAGTTGCATGCATGTGTAGAATTTGGCTCAGCTGATAATCGACGAAGAAAAGAATGGATTAAAGTTCGTACAATCTCACATCTCCGAACAACCATAGAAGAAAATTATAATCAATATATGTAAAAATCCTGTCTTCAAACATATCTTTTACCAAGTCATCCAAATTCCATTCACGCAAAACGTCATCACCATCCAGCTTTTATTAAAAATGTTGCAGTATCTAAAGATGAAATGACTCCACATGAAGATGAACATTATTGTTTAGCATCTGTAAAAGGTGTTAGACAATTTGCAGAAGCTTTTTCTGAAAATTCAATTATTATTTCACAGGATGATAAAGCTAAAGTTCCTTTGGGAATTCCAGCAGTAGGTCATACTTTTTCTACAGTTCAATCACAAAATCAATCTGTATCAATCCCCGATCATGATTTTTCAGTATTTCAAAACACAAATTAATCCCCTCTGTATATCTTATAATTGATCCAACTAATACAAATGAATAAATGCGATCAGAACATTTGGCAGTTTTTGTACGACCAGAATTATGATTTTCAACAACAGCTTCAAGTCATATGTTTCATTTACATAAAATTCAACATCTTCAAGACTTTCAAATGACTTTTTTAGATTGTAATAATATGCATCGTCCAATTGTAATTCTCTTGGTAAATAAAGGACCTAATGAAAATCCACAGCTCCTAAAAAATATAAAATAATATTTTTTAGTATTTTCGTGATGCAGATTTAGATTATATGACAATTTGTACACATGCACCTGATCAATCTGCATATAATCCTATTAAATGAAGTATGGTATCTTTATCTGAAAAACTTGCAGGAATTACTCTTTCTCATAACAAATATGGCAATCATTTACGAAATGCAAAAGTGGTTAATGATAATTTAGCGCGTTAAAATTTTGCTTATTCTGGTGAAACACTATGTGAATTGTGAAAGAAAGATCATATCAATGGTCATTCTGTACATGCTGAATATATTTCAGAAAATAATATAGAAATAAAAACATCAGTTTTCTGGTCTTGGATAGAAGCTCATACTCAAATTTGTCGTTACTCTCTTGATATTCACAAATGTAATAACTTACAATGTTGTAAACCAAAACATTGTGAAATAGCTGCTATATTATTAGCACAAAATAATGGTTTTCTTCCACCTGTTTCTAAAGGTCGTGATAATCATTTTTGAATCCAATTCATATTCTAGAATATTTTGATTTGCTAAAAATCCCTAAATATGATCAGCATTGTCCATTTATATCTTCTGAATTATACCAACGATTATGTTGCAATATATGTGGTAAGTATTTTCTAACATTATCTTTTGTGGCTGAACACAAAAAAACTGTTCATAAACAACATTGTCAAAATTCATCATATGTTCAAAACTCACGTACTTTTGAAGATATATCAAATAATTATCCTTTTAAAGAATTTGTTTTAGATTTTAGAAATGTATTGTCTGATCATGAATAATTACCAATATATTTGATTTTAATAAATTTGACATGTTTGCATAATAATAATTATGATATATGATAAATTATAAATATAAAATAAAAATTACCATATATAGATATATAAAATTACAATATATAGACGTGATCAATGAAATAACCCCCTCCCCCTTTTCTAATCACGTAATTTTTGGCCCTTCCCTTAGCTATAAAAATTTAAAGCAAAATAATCACTTGATGCTAGAACACGTATATCTGAAAAATCTACTACTTGACATTTATTTACTAAAATTATGTAATATGTGATAAAGGGTATAAAAATAATCCAGGTACTGCAAAGTATATTATGCGACTCACCCTATAATTTTATAATGCTATGACATTTGTATAACCAAGACAACGCATGACTTATATAATTACGTGATCAAGATTAGACTGAAATTTTGATGTCATAAATAAGAACATTTTTTTTTAAAAAAACCTTTTTTACAAAAGCAAAATGCCTTCCACAGAAATTTATGATATAATTAAGAACACAGCTTTTACTGATCGTAAAAAGACCACTTTACGTTCCTACTTTTATAAAAATACTGATGAAATGTATAAGGCAGTAAATGTTCTTGATACTTGCAAACTGCTCAAGGAAAAGCTTGACTTTATTAAGGAAACCTTCCTGAAACCTGGTATATTCATGAGTTGACTTTTGTAATTAACTAACATTTGCATTGTTTGGTCTTCTAACCAATTATATTAATACATTTCCTTCTCAACACTATTTTGTATTTTGCAACTATTAGAGCAAAAAAGTAAGCAAGCAAAGTGTAGATTAAATTTTTTTTATATTGTCAAATGATAGTAAATGTCTCATCATACTTGAAATCAGTGAATTTTGGAAACAACTTCTAAACGCAAAAATCATTTCTCCGTTGCTAAAAAACTTCAGGAATAACACTTCAAGAGAGTATATGAAAGATTTGCTATTAAAACTCATATAATTTACTATACCTAATTTTAATAGCAAATGATCCTAATTACAATCAAAAATGATTATTTCTATTTGAAAGTAACAGATAGAACTAAAGATGGGAACTGTAATTAATATGTTGCAACTTTTAATGTTGCAACTTACGTTGCAATTAGTTTTAACCTATATGTGTTGCAACTTATAATGTTGCAACATATGTTGCAACTAATTTTAGCTTATGTTGCAACATTTTGTAAATTTGAAATCAATTGCTATACCATCTTTAAATGGAACAATTACCAATTTAAAGTTACCATAAATCTCAATAAATAAGTTGAAGTTGGTCTTAACTGAAAATATTTACTTTCTTGAAGATAAGCAATGTATGGATCTTATTCGTAAATATTATTTTGTATTAATCAAATTAATAGAAGAAGAAAATAATCCAACCTATAACATCACTGGAACCCTAATATTGGTAAAACATAACATTTTTTGCTTTATTTCTTTTTTTACTATATTCAAAATAAATATCCTTATGCAACAATAATTTGGAGATCAGATGAAATTGTCAATTGGTAGAATGGAATGGGTGATCATCAATAATTATACGATGCATTGCATAATCATAACAATTTCTATCTTGCTTGCTAACGCGCAAGTTTTAGACGAAAAGCTTATATTTTTCATTTAACGTTACCAAAGAAAGAAAGATCTAATGAAGCCGTTAAATCACAAGGATTTACCACATATGTTATGCCAATCTGGGATCAATGATAGCTTGTCTAAAGATGATTCTATAAGTGAAAAACTCATATACCTTGAGGGTTTTACAAATATGGCAAATCGCTTTGCTACTAATGAATTAGCTAGTTATTTAATTTATGAATAGTAAAGAAAAACTAGAAATAGCATTACAAATTTCAACTAATTTAGTTGTGATTTTTCAGTAACTGTTTCATTTCACGGGCATCTCTTTGAAGATTATGCATATAGTAAGTTAAGAAAAGTAGCAGTTTAAAATTCAGCATTTGAAGAATGATAAACTGTAATAACTAAAAAATCTATCCCTGAACGTAATAATAACTTTTATATAGTACTGGATAATGTACGTGAATGTTGCTACAATATACCCAGATCAAAGTCAAATATTTCAATTGATTCTTTCGTATATGAACATGAAAATAGCTTGGACTTGTATCAAATTATGGTTTCAAAAAATTATAGAAATAAAGTTACAACTAGGAATTCAATGGTTATTTTATATTTTATTGCATTATTAACTCAGATTTTTGTAGATTCAATGGATTAAGAAAAATTAGAAAATCTTTGGATTAAATAATTATTCGTTTATATGACATCAGTGATTTCAAAAATTATACATTTTAAGCTATTGGAAACAAAAGGATGCAAAGAACTCTGTAATGAAACTCAATATGCATTAAAGATCAATATAAGGATTTGAACAAAGTAAGAGTTTTGCAAATACTGATGAATGATAAAAAAACAAAATAAATAAAATTAATTAATAAGTCAATGTCACTGAATTCTTTCCAAAAATTTCATAATAGTGTAGTCTTATGCTTTTTATATATAATAAAATGCAAGTTTTTACTTTAAAATTGCATTCTTTCTTTATGCGAAAACAAATTTGTTATATATTTTTATCTATTAATCTCTAATGGATTTTAATACTTTTGGATAAATCAAGATGTATTTTTTAAATTAGATGACATTTTAATTAGTCTTGTTTTCACATGATTTTAGTAGCCCACTCACTTTTGGCTTATTTAAAATATTTAATTTGGTTTAAACCAATTTAAAAGAAACTTTACTTATATTTATAATTTAAATTGTGAATTTTTTTATATTATTTTTATAAAATTAATATATAAATAATAATATAAATTTTATAATATATACTAAAACACTGTATTTATTAAAGATGGAGCTGTAATTAATTTTAAAATTTTTAGCTAGTTGCAACTATTTATGAATTTTTATATTAAAATAAATTTTGCAAGGAGTTGTAACCAGTTGCAACCCAAATTGCAACTTACTGAGTTGCAACTTCTTAATTACAATGCCATCTTTAGTATCTATCATTAAAAATTGCATTTAATTTATATATAAATTTTATTTTAGCAATTACAAACTATATCTTAATACAAATATTCTATATATAGTGTTACTAAATAAATATTAATAAATTACAAATAAATCAAATAATTTTTTACCCATTAATAAAAAAATAATTTAATATATCAAATAAATAATTTAATTTTTAATTTAAGTAACTTATTTCAACACTTGTTAAATTTAAGGCTTCTATTAAATTTAAATAAATTATTAATATTAAAAAATATTAAAATTTATGTATTTCATAAATTTAATAATATAATAATATTTACCAATACTTTGACTAATTTCTAAATCTAAAATATCATTTAATTTGTCAGTAAAATTAAGTAATTGACTAGTATGATATGCTTGTGAATGTGATTTAACAGTAATAATATTATTAGTAATATTACTATTTTGTATTTGTTTTAATACCTTATCTGACTTATAAAAATCTAAAACATTCCCTCTTAATTCTTTTTCAAATCCTTTAGAAAGAATATTTTCTTTCCAATTTGTAATAGTCTTCTTAATTTCTGATGCAGTTGGTCTTTTTAATGAAATTATTCTCCAACATTTTTTCATTAAATCTATATAACATTGTGGAATATTTTTAATAACTTTAGGATGTTTACCTTTAAAAATATCTAAACTAAGTTGAAAATCATGAGCTATATTATCAAATGGAGAAACTCCAGATATAAATTCCCATATAATCATAGAAAAACTATAAATATTACTAGATAAAGTATAAGGTTGACCTCTTAAAACTTCAGGTGTTACAAATGGTAAAACACTATAAATTTCATTTTTTTTACAAGATGATTGAAAATATTCTATAGGTTTACATAATCCTAAATCACTAATAGATAAAATATTGGCTTTCAATTTTAAAATATTACCATGATGTAAATCACAATGTATAAGCTTTATTTGATGTATTTCATCAAGTCTATCAATAATATTAAGTAATTGTAATAATTTAATAATCCATTTATCCTTAAATATATCTGATAAATTATTTCTTAAATTACTATTTTCTGCATATTTCATTACTATTATATAATTTAATGTATGTGGATCTTGAGTAAATCCATATAGTTGAATAAGATTATCATCTAAATAATTTTTTAATTGACAATAACATTTATAATGAAGTTTACACTAAGATAGTAAAAATTTAGTTATAAATTATTATTTATTATAAAGTATAATTAATAATTTCATATCTCATTTAAAAATTCTTTATTTAAATTTAATGATTTCTCAAAGCATTTAAGAGATACATTTATTTCATTATTTCTAATCCAATCATTAAGAGTATATAAATAAGAATCAATATTTTCATCTAATCAAACAGCTTTATATATAGTACTAAATCCTCCTTTATCAAGAAATTCAATATTAATAAATTTATCATAAGAAATCCATTCTAATATTTGACTTTTATTTTTAGCATTCAATTAAGCTTCCTGAATAAATTTATCAATAAATATATTTTTGCTAGTCCAATTAAAAAATTTCAGTTGAAAAATTTTAGAAAAACATTCTTTACACCATTTATATTCAGTAAATTTTTTATTACATTGTGAACAATTATCTATTTTTCTAAGTAAATATTTTAAATTATTAAATTATTAGTATTATTATTATAATTTTATTAAAAGTTTATAAATAAAATATAATACTACCTCAATATAATAGATTTATAATATTTAATAATTTAAATAAATATTTATAATTAAATACTTATAATCAATAAAAATACCTTACCACCTTTAGAAGTTTTTAAATAAAAAATATAGTTGAGTTTAAATTACAGTAAAAAGTATAATTAAATACTGATAATAAATAAAAATAACTTACCACCTTTAGAAGTTTTTAAATAAAAAATTTAGTTGAGTTCAAATTATAGTAAAAAGTATAATTAAATACTGATAATAAATAAAAATAACTTACTTTCTTTAGTAATATTTTTGGTATTAAATAAAAAATTTAGTTGAGTTTAAATTAAAGTAAAAAGTATAATTAAATTCTGATAATAAATAAAAATAACTTACTCTCTTTAGTAGTTTTTAAATAAAAAATTTAGTTGAATTTAAATTACAGTAAAAAGTATAATTAAATACAGATAATAAAAAAAATAACTTACTCCCTTTAATAGTTTTTAAATAAAAAATTAGTTGAATTTAAATTACAGTAAAAAGTATAATTAAACATTGATAATCAATAAAAATAACTTACAATCTATTATATTTTAAATAAAAAATATAGTTAAGTTTAAATTACAGTAAAAAGTATAATTAAATACTGATAATCAATAAAAATAACTTACAATCTATTATATTATTAATCATTGTTTATTTTTTTAAATAAAAAATTTAGTTGAATTTAAATTATAGTAAACAGATAATTAAACATTGATAATCAATAAAAATAACTTACCCCCTTTAGTAATTTTTAAATAAAAAATTTAGTTGAGTTTAAATTCAATAAAAAGTATAATTAAATACCGATAATCAATAAAAATAACTTACAATCTATTATATTATTAATCATTGTTATTTTTTTAAATAAAAAATTTAGTTGAGTTTAAATTTCAGTAAAAAGTATAATTAAATACTGATAATAAATAAATATAACTTACCCCATTTAGAAGTTTTTAAATAAAAAATTGTTAAGTTTAGATTACAGTAAAAAATATAATTAAATATTGATAATCAATAAAAATAACTTACTTCCTTTAGTAGTTTTTTGATTTTAAATAAAAAATTTAGTTGAGTTTTAATTACAGTAAAAAGTATAATTAAATACTGATAATAAATAAAAATAACTTACCATTTAAAATATTAATTAATTACAGTAAAAAGTATAATTAAATACTGATAATCAATAAAAATAACTTACTATCTTAAATTTTAAATTATTTTTTTAAATAAAAAATTTAGTTGAATTTAAATTACAGTAAAAAGAATAATTAAATACTGATAAATAAAAATAACTTACTCTCTTTAATATTTTTTGTTTTTTAAATAAAAATTTAGTTGAGTTTAAATTACAGTAAAAAGTATAATTAAATACTAATAATCAATAAAAATAACTTACAATCTAAATAATATTTTTTTTAAAATAAAGAATTTAGTTGAGTTTTAATTATAGTAAAAGTATAATAAAATACTAATAATCAATAAAATAACTTACACCCTTTAGTAATAATTTGTTATTAAATAAAAAATTTAGTTGTGTTTAAATTACAGTAAGAGTATTATTAAATACTGATGATTAATAAAATAACTTACAATCTAGAATATTATAGCTTTTATAAATATAGAGTTGAATTGAATTTAAATTACATTATAATAAAAAGTATAATTACTTTCTGTAATTTATAATAATTAATATTACTATTTATAATAAAATAAAATTATAGTTATTATATATAATAATTAAAACTTACGATCTGTAATTTTTAAATTTTATAAAGGTATATAATATATAAATAATAATATATTTACCAACTAAAATGCAATTAAGAAAGTTTTAGAATAACTTAATTTTAATTTCTATATAAAAAATTATAAATTCTCTTACTCCCTATGGTATAATTGATCATTAATTTAATTAATTTTAATTGTATGTTATAAAATACAGTATAA